TTTATTTATTGATAATTTATTTAAAAACTTAAAATTTAATTTATAAATAATTATAATAAATAAATATCAAATAAACTAAAAAATTTAAAAATTTTATTATTGAAGAATAAATTATATTTAAAATATAAAAGTTGATTAATAAGATTATATACACGATTTAATATGTTTCATGTAAATTTATGTAATAACTTGATTCCGTTGATAAAAAGTCTATTTAGTGACACTGACATTGCTCTAACCGATTATGTTGCCAGCAATGGAAATTAAATGGCAAGAGTCGGCGTTAGCTTGTGGTTAGGCAAAGGGTTTCGTGGCCAAACTAAAATAAAATTTAAATTATTAATTTTGTGTATCAAATATTGTTCTCTTATAAAAAGTGAGGACTTATATTTGATTATCATTATTATTTTTGAAAAATATTATTCTCTTTTTTTTAATATATTTCTTAAAAATAAAAATTGTTTAAATATTTTTTAAGTGTTAGATATTTTAAATTAATATGTTTATAAAATATTTAGTATTTAATTAACTAACAAGTAGGATACAAATTCTTAATATGTTGAATTCATTATTAAATTGTTTGGATAACGTCCACGTTCAATTTTTGGTGGAGTTAATTTTTTTATTATCAAACTTTACTTACCTAATTGAAACAAATTAATTTAAGATAAAATTTTAGAAATTTAATTTGAAAAAATATTAAATTTTATTTTTAGTATAAAAAATATTTAATTTCATTTAATTAAGACTATAAATATCTTTTATTAAAAATAATGTTTGAGTTGGATAAAACTATTATGAAAATAAAACTTTTCCTCCAAAAGTAGCGTCATAAGTAGGATTTAAACTTGAAACAATACTATAAATAAAAAGTTAAAAGTAAAAGTTTTAATTTTAAAATAAAATAATCAAAATTATAAATTAATAAAAATAAAGAAATAAAAATATAATTTAATCTATATTTTTAAATTTTATGTTATTAGTATTAAGTACTATCAACTGTTTCAATTTATTAACTTATGTTGATTGATGGATAAAGTTGAAGTTGAAATCTTTGTTGGAACTTATTAGTTAATTTTGTAAAGTATTTTCCTGGACTCTGATTTTTTTATTCACAAAGCTTTGGAATCTTATCTAATGGATCCAAATTTAATTATAATCATACCAACGATATTGGTAAATTTTTTAATTTTAAAAAGCTATATAATGCAATTTTTAATTTTAAAGATTATTTATATATTTTTTAATTGCATGTATATTACAATTTATACAAAATAATATTTTATTTTAATATTTATTATATATAACTAAACTTTAAATTTAATTATGTTTTTAATCTTTAAAAATAAGCGAGTTTTAATTTTAATTTTGTAATATTTTTATTTTTCATTCTTTTAAAATTTGTAAATATTATTTTTGTTTTTGCAAGCATTATTTTTTGACCATGTAATTTCAGCAAATTTTGTTTTGATTCTATAAAATATTTTTCTTTCATTTTTATTTTTCTAAAATTTAAAATTATTTTTTATTCTTAATGACTATTTTAAGAATTTATAATTCTTTTTAAATATCATGTAAAGATAAAATATCATATACAATTGTGAGTATTACTTGAAAATATACAACCTTTTAAAAAACATATAAATAGTTAAAAAAAAGTCATACAATAATAGAAACTAAAATCATAGTTTCAAATTTTAGAGGAATAAAAAATAAATAAAAATTTTATAGGAACTAGAATTAAAATATATTCATTTTGTAAGAATAAACTTTATAATAAATTTAATATTTTTTTTAAATATATAAACTATATTAAAATTTTTATATAAATATTTATTTTAAAACATATAAATCATATTTTTATTCAAAATACATAATTATTTTTTATTTTAAAAATAAAAAAATTAATTCATAAGTAATTATGATAAATACATATTAATTAGATAATTAAAATCTGTGGGTAATTATCTAATTCAATTTTTATCTATCATAATTACTTATAAATTAATTTTATTATTTATTACCCACGGATTTATCCGTGGCAATTA